TATTATAAATCATTCCTAAATTATTATAAGTCTTGGTCAATTCTTGAGGATTTCTAAATTGTGTTTTTTCCATTATTTCAATCTTATTCGAATACGCATTAATAGCTTCGTCATATTGATTCTGTTTCGAATACACTTCAGCTAAAATATCATACGTTGCAGCAAGTAATTTATGAACTCTTGAACAATGTTCAAGTACTTTTTTTAGCATTGACAAATGCTAAATCAAATTTATTTTGTCTTAAATATATACTTGCAATATTATTATATGTAACAGCTATATCTTCTGGTTGTATGTCATTCAATATTAATTGAATCTCTAATGCCTTTTGAAAATGATGTAATGCATTTGTTAATTTTTCTTGTTGACAATATATAAATCCAATATTATTTAATATTTTTGTATATTCGAAAGAATTCATTTGTAAAAATTTTTCTACTTCAGTTACTTTTGTAAAAATTTCTAATGCAGTATCATAATCATTAAGTTGACGATAAATAGAACCAATATTATTATATATTCGTATAATATTTGGATCATTAAGTGATAAATATTTGAATTGTAAATCAAGTACAGTTTTGAAACATGCAATTGCTTCTTGATAGTTTTGATTAGCTAAATTTGCATATGCTATATTGCTATACAATGTTGTTAAGTTGATATTATTGATTGGAGACAAATTGGATTGAATTTCAATTGCTTTTTTACAATTTTTCAATGCTTCTGTGTAATTAGATTGTTTATGATAGTTTTCTCCAAGACGTGCAATGATTTCTATCATTTCAAGTTGATTTTGTAATTCTGATTGAATTTCGAATGCTTTTTTAAATTTTTTTGTTGACTCAACATATTTGCCTAGTTTATTGAAAGCTAGTCCCATACATTTGTATATTGTTACTAAATGATCTTTGTCTGAATTAGGTTTTTTCAGTTGATGTTGAAGAGATTTTTCACAATACTCAATTGATTTTTGATAATTCTCAAGTAAGAGATAAGTATTACCAATATGAAAATATAATAGCTCAAGATCATGATGATCATCTTTATAGATTTTAGTCATGATTGTTTGAGATGCATGAAAATGTTCTAATGCTTTATCGTATTGATTTAATTTTAAATTAATTCTACCAAGATTAAAATGTATATTAGCTAAATCTGGATGATTATTTTGAGATGACTTCAATTGTATTTTAACTGCTTGTTCACAATGTTTAAGTGCATCAGTAAAATTTTCTCGAATTAAATAAATCACACCGATACTATTTAATGTAGCTGCAAGATCGATATGATCATTTGGAAGAGATTTTAGTCGTATATCAAGTGCTTTTTGGAAATAATGCATAGCTGTATCATTATTTCCAAGTTTATAATGTACATCTCCCATGTTATAATAAATCGATGCAATTGGTGGATGATCATGTTCTAAAGTATTACAAAATATAGTCAATGATTTTTCATAAAAATCTAAAGCTTTTATATGATCATTAATATTATTATAAAGTAGTGCTATATTGTTATATGCTGTTCCAATTTGATAATGATTCGATGGTAATGATTTTTCTTCAATTTTCAATGCTTTCATATAATTATCTAATGCTTCATCATAACGATTTAATTGATTTAACAATAATGCGATATTATTATAAGTTGAAGCAATATTTGGATGTAGCTCTGGTAAAGATTCGAGTTCAATGTTAAGTACTTTATTGTAGTATTCTAGTGAAAGTTCGTAGGCTAGTTTATGTCTGTAGACCATTGCAATATTGTTATATGTTGATGCCATAAAAAGAGCATTTTCCGGTATAGATTTTAATTTAATATCACGTGCTTGTTTTAAATTTTCTATTGCTTTTTCATACTTTCCCGTTCGATCGTTTAACACGTTGACTGTCTCCATAAGAAAAAAATAGTACTTGTTCTACGTCCACTGTTTATTTTCTTCTTAATTTTAAAATATATTATTTTCGGAGTGTCTTGCGTTTATATACCACAAAAATAAGTTTTAAACATATGACCTAGAACTAGAATACTTCTTTACATCGTACCAATATGTTCCAATAGTTCAAATGCAGTCAGTTAGTTGCATCTAGCAAATTCTAGCTTCAAATATTATATGCTGCTCATGCATCATATATGATGCACCGGGCAGTCAACGTGTTAATTGAAATTAATCCATTTGAATTTTCTTCTAAAGCTTTTAACTCTTGTATTGACATTTGTGCTCCACGATACACGATTGAAATTATTTCACTACGTTCACGGTACAATCGTTCCAGATGATGATGAAGATCAGCAATAAAAGATCGAAATTTATAAATAACATCAAAATTTTCTGTACGAAGTGCTCTATTCAATAAACGAAAAAGAAAGATATCTTTCGAATACCATTCACTTGCATGATCTTTATCATAGTTTATTGAAAATTCTTCTATTTGCTTCAATACTTTTTCATTATTTTTATATTGTTTTCGACATAAATTAATCATTTCATTTTTAGCACTATCAACATGTTCCATATTGATAAGAATTTTTATTAATAATTGAAACCACATAAATGAAACACTTTCCTTAGTCAAATCTCAGAGACATTGTTGTTGAGCATTTTCATTTAATATACTTATAGGTAAAAAATTTCTTATTTCTAATTTTACATTGGATATTTATTTGGCATAAAGTTCATCTTTATCATTAAAAACACCTTGAAGTTTTGGTTTATATTGGATTGACCAAGTTTCATGTTTCATTTTATCATAACAAAATACATAGATAGAAATAATTTTCGATGAATCATAAATTTGAATTATTACACTTTCACCTAATTGGCCTGATACAATAAATAATATTTTTGTTTCTGTTGTGATAGAATTAATATAAGTAATGCATTCATCAACACAATCAAATACTTTCAAATAATCAACGATGGGGTTTAATGTATTGATCATTTCTAAACAATCTTGGCTTTTGTTCACATTTGAGTCAAGCCATACAATAGACAATTCTTCCAGATTTTCATCGTTCGAGAAGTTAAAATTTTCATTTGAAGAAAAATTCGATATTCTTACAATAGAACTTCTCTCATCGACTAGTGACTCGTTCATGACTTGTGAACAAATATGTAACTATTTGAATGAATGTTCTTGTTTTACCAAAGGTTGGTTCTAAAGCAAAGCAAGATGAAATATTAGTATTCATATTAGCAACTTCATGTTTATATCTTTTTACGAACAGCTAAGCTACCCACTAATTCTCTTCCACTACATGAAGACTTTGATTCGTATTTGTATTTGTATCACGTTATGGAATGAAATTTAAAAAAAGTACTTACAACTCTGAATCAGCTTGAATTTTGAACAAGAGTATATATTTAATCGTTGAATGCTTTCGGATTTTATACGATGGTTATAAGCACAAGGGGCACTATTCTGCGTGACTTGTTTGACTCCCTTCTGCTTCACTACCTATTTCACTCGTTCGATAGTTTTTTTACTGCTTCACAACGCTTTTATGATGTAAAATGAATCCTAGTTCTCGTAAACTGTCAAATTAATCTCTATATTCATGAACACAGAAATCAAAATTATCATTCTACAGCGCTTGATTAGCAAAAATTTAATATTTAGGCAAGTCTTATTTGTTCAGAACAATACTCAGCATAAGTCATGTGAGTGAGAGACATACTTGAAGTCTTTGTCAGGTTAAATAATTAATTTCAAAACATCCAAAAAAGTTAGATATATGGATAAACAGAAAAACTCATTTAATTTCATATAAATTTACTCACAATGAATTTATATAAGTTGTTTAGTTGATCTTTTCTACAGAATGTTTCATTCAGGTAGTCAACACATGGAAAAGAAATTTATGCATTCTTTTTTGACCATTTGTTTCGCTTTTCTTTTTCTTCTCACCAAAGTAAATAATTTCATATACCGTGATGACTTATGAACTTACTTGGAAAAAACAAAACTATGGAAAAAAATAAGCAGGAGATATACATATGTTTAAAAAACAACAGAAGAGGATCACTATATTTAAAATAAACATTTTGAAAAGAAAAACAAATCTGATTACTATTTAAAACTATTTTATTTTGTGTGATCTTTCCTTTATAGTCAATGAAATAAAAATATCTATTCTATTCGACTTATGAAAATCTTTTATCGTTAGTTACGAAATTGTTAAATAAAAGCAACATGGTTTTGTTTTTTTTTTCAAAGTTGGATTTGAAGTTTTCTATGTATTTGTTAATTAAGATTTACCACCAAGTGTTTAGAAAATTGATATCGAATATGTCAAGGAACTAAAACGAAGAAAATTGTGATCAATCACAGAAGCTATTAATATTCCTTTTAATTCAAGAAAAAAGAAATCGAAGTTGCAATGCACCTCTTTTTCTTCAATCACTGTATCAAATTATAATCTACTTTCCCCAACATAATAGACCCTAAATTATATACAGAAACTCAAACGATTTATGAGAGAATTTCTTCAAATACATTGGACCTTACTTGTGACGTGGGTGTGGGTGTGGGTATGGGGTGGGCGTAGGTGTGGGTGTGGGGTTGGTGTGGGTGTGGGTGTGGGGTGGGTGTGAGTGTGGGTGTGGGTGTGCGTGTGCGTGTGCGTGTGCGTGTGGGGCTGTCGCTGTGGGGTGGGTGTGGGGCTGTCGCTGTGGCTGTGGCTGTGGGTGACCTTGAAGACTCCAAATTATACCCATACCCACACCCACACCCCACATCCACACTGACCCACACCCACACCCACACCCACACCCACACCCACACCCACACCCAC